ATCATGCTGTACGTTAGACTCCAGGACACTTTCATTCTACACAACAAGCTACGTACCCTCTGACGCGCTTCTCTCGTTACTCCCGACCCCCACTCCTGGCAACCGTCATGCTATTCTGATGCCGCTAGTTTGACGCTTCTAGATTCCACATACGTGAGATCAAGCAGTGCGTGTCTTTCCACGCCTGGCTTATTTTGCTTAGTATAACGTCCTCCAGGCTCATCCACATTGTGTAAAAGACAGGATTTCCTTCTTTTCCAAGGGCGACGGTTTGTCGGCTGTAAATGAGTGAGCGTCTATGGTATGGGAGATACATTCTCAGTAAGAGACTGACTATACGCTAGAAGTCTCGAAATCGCTTCTCTGCCTTTTGACTAAGATCAAAGTAAAAGAGCACATAAAATAAAGAGGGCTTAAGCTTTCTTTGCGCTCTCTCTCTCTCACTCTTTTCTTTTTTCTTTTTCTTTTGGAGGAGTGGGTGGATTTGGTATGAGGCTGGGTCAGGACAGAGGGAGAGGAAGGGGGCCCAAGAGGACGTCCAAGTCTCTGGCCCGTTAGCTAAAATGAGAGACCCCAGCAACTCTGAGACACGCACAAGGAGGGGCTCTTCTCAGAGAGAAACGGGGCAGCATGACTCCGAGGCATGCTTTCGGGAGAAACCACAACCTTCATGCCTTCAGTAAACGGTTTCCTGTTTTTCACAATTCAGAGAATATTTTGAAGCTTAGTCAAATAGGCACCCTGGGGGTGACCTCTGACAAGGTGTGATTTAGGGATATTGGAAAGGAAGCCGTGTCCCCCCACCATCTCCCATAAGAATTTGTCTCTGGAGCTGGCAGGTGGCGTGGTGGTTGAGGTGCTGGACCCCCACATAGCTGACCATGGTTTGAGTCCTGAACCTGGCAGCTTGCTTTCTCACTTTCCTCTCTCTCTCTGTCTCTCTCTGGTCAAATGAAAAAGTAATAATAATACGTAAAATTAATTTAAAAAATTTATTTAATTTGCTTTTTTTTTTTTTTAAATTTGATGAAAGTAGGGGAGAGAGAGAGAGAAAGTGAGAGACAAAGCCACCAGGTCCGAGTCTTGAACCACGGTCAGCCATGTGGGCGTCCAGCACCTTAACCACCTTGTCACCTGCCAACCCAATAATTCTTTAAAAAATAAAAATAAAAAAAGACTTTTTCTCTATGTTTCTCTCATCAGAGAGATTCTTTGAGTTTAATACTTCTCTCCAGCCAGAATGCAAACATCCCTGGAAAAAGTTCAGTCTTATGAATTAATTGGGAACTAGTAGTTAGCATAATGGCTATGTCGCTGGACTACCACATAGTCGACCGCGGTTCACGCCCCGGACCCAGTGGCTTAAAACTCATGTCGTGCGTGTGTGCGTGCGTGCCCAAGATCCTGAGAGGAGAATGGAGGAGAAGGGATTGCGGCATGACCATCCCCCCTGGGGGGTGATTTCTCGCTTTCTGTCTCTATGTCTCTCTCTGTCTGTCTGGTGAGCGCACATGCCCTATAGAGAAAACCTCTCCAAAATAATAATAATAATAATAATCCTTTAGTGGAAGTCAATCTCCTGAGGTTCACGTGGCAAAGGAGAAAGGAGAGGTACATGGTATAACATTTTAGATCTATAGGTGTTTTGTCATTGTGGTTAGAGCAGAACTTCTGGAGCCCAAGAATACAGGCTTCAAGGTGGCTAAACTGGGCTGTGTGGCCTCAGGCAGCTTATTGAAATTCTCTGTGTTCAGTAAGGAAAACAGGTTTCCCTCACTTTACCTATTTATTTATTTATTTTTGCTATAGGTTCATGCATTACAGAGATACAAAGAAAAGTGAGAAATCACACCCTGGGGAAATGGCCACCCCTTCTCCTCCATTCCCCTCTCAGGTTTGAGCACACACACACACACACACACGTGCCTGGCATGTTTTTCAGCTGTCGGGTCTGGGACTCGAACTGTGGAGTTGGCTACATGGGATCCAATCACCTTAACTTCCCCATGCCACCTGCTGGCCCAGTTCCATCACCTTTTAAAACAGGACGGTTGTGAGGAATAAATGAGTTCATACATGAGAATGCTTAGAACTACACCTGGTCTGTTGTGTTAGACATGGGTTAATTAAGTAATCAGTTAACATGAATGACTGTGTGTGAGAACCCAGTGAGTAGAGGGGGAAAGTGATTTGCTCAAAGGTGTCAAACTAGTAGGTGGTGGAGACGCTTCATAAAAATACATTATTTTCATTTTCATTTTTTAAGAAAAAAAAAATTTGCTAGAGGACATGTCTGCTCACCAGAGAAGGGGGAGGAGGGCAGAGAAAGCATCTCTCCGCAGAGCATGGTCACACCACAATTCCTTCTTCTCCATCTCTCCCTCTTTTTGGAATTTTGGGCACATCCATGCCCAGTGTGTTTTTCAAGCCCCTGGGAATGGGATTTGAACCACAGGGTCTGCTATGAGAAATCTAGCTGCCTTAACCAAGGCCGTGAAGCTGGTCCTGTATTTTTGTTTTCCAAAGCACTCTGGCATCTTGTTCCTGGTGGGAAGGGGAAACTACTCAACAATTCCTATGTTGGGGAAAGCAGCAGCACCAGATCCAAGATGGCGGCCAGGAGGAGGCTGATGAAAGAGCTTGAAGAATTCTGCAAGTGTGGAATGAAAAGCTTCCGTAACATCCAGGTTGATGAAGCTAATTTATTGACTTGGCAAGGGCTTATTGTTTCTGACAACCCTCCTTCTGACAAGGCGGCTTCAGAATCGAAATCAACTTTCCAGCAGAACACCCACTCAAACCACCGAAGATCACATTTGAAAAAAGATCTATCCCCCGAACATGGATGAAAAGGGGCAGGTCTGTCTGCCAGTAATTAGTGCTAGAAATTGGAAACCAGCTACCAAAACCGACCAAGTAATCCTGTCCCTCATAGCACTGGTGGACGACCCTCAGCCCGAGCACCCCCTCCGGGCTGACCTAGCCAAAGAATACACTAAGGACTATAAAAAATTCTGTAAGAACGCTGAAGAATTTACAAAGAAATATGGGGAAAAGCAGCCTGTGGACTAAAACCTGCCATGATTGATTCCAGCAAGTATGAGCAGAGACCCCGAGCAGGGCATCAGACCCCCCGCAAAGCAGGACTCTGTGGAAAATTGACTCGTGCCACCGCCTAACGTTCGCTTGTGGCAGTTACTTTCTAGTTTTCTTAATCAAAAGTGGTCTAGGTAACTGTAAAGGAAGGATTAAAATTTTAAGATGTTCTAAAAAAGAAATGAAAACAATTCCCATGTAGCTATAAAACGCTTTGCTCTGTGTGTGTGTGTGTGTGTGTGTGTGTGTGTGCATTTTTTTCTTCTTTTTTCTTTTTCCTTTATCTTTTAGGCCAAGAGTTTTTTTTTCTTGGCAGTAAGCCCTTGATGCATATTAGACATTTACTGGTCTTTTCTCTTTACTTATGAGTTAGTCAGTGAGGCCTTGGGCATACAGCCACCAAGGCATAGAGAACTGGGCCTGAGCACTGCCTGGAGGCTTCCCTGTAAGATCCAGGTCTTTGTAGCCTTTGCCTGCCCCTCTCCCTCCCCACTGCTCTCAGCTCCTAAACACCCTCCCACTGGGCTTCCCTTAATGAGTTCCCAGATTCTTGCCTTGTAAGCTATTGGAATGGTTGTTCAAAAGTCTCCTGGCAAGTCCAGTGCATGCCCTGGCTTTCTCCCCAAGGAGCAGGTAATCCTCAGGAATGGGAAATCCATCTCTAGTCCCATCCTGCCTGGAGGAGGCTTTCCTCCCAGGAGAACTAGGGGTGGTGGTGGACTTCTCTTTGAATGGTAGGCACAGATCAGACCAGGCTCTCCCCTGACTGCGAAACACCTAATCCTCATTCCTTCCATTTCTTTCCTATAAAACACAGTCCCTACAACAAGGAATCATCTAGTGGCAAATGTCAGCAGCGTGGTGGAGATGGAAACGCTGTCCCACAGGATCATCGAGAAGTAATGACCTTTCTAGGGGCGTCCACCACGTGCAGGCACTGCACACGCATTGTCTCATTTCATCACTCCTGCACCTTGCAAAGTGCTGTGGTTATCGCTCCCACTGACAGGTGAGAAAACACACAACAACAATTACATGACTTGCCCCAGTCCCACAGCTGGAATGGGGTGGAGCAAGAACGAATCCCAGGTGCTTCTAACCTCCCACCCCAAATCCACTCTTACTCTCTGTGCTACAGAACACCCCCTTCCAATCTGTCCGTGGCAAGGCTCTCACATCCACCCTTAATAATATTTTGCACAAATGTGCATGACTCCCCTCCACTCCAAACGTAAGCAGATGCTATTGCGACAAGTTAAATTTCTTACGTGCTAATAAATTTGTGTTATCTTTCTGCCATGTATTTTCCTCAATCAAAAAAATCTAAAAAGTAAACTGCAATTATACTAGGGGACAGGCACAAAAATCTTTTGTTTTTAAAAGACAAAAGGAAAGGTAGGGATCTTCAGTGACAGATTTGAACTGCATTCAAACCCAGCAACAGCCTGTCTGAGTTTTTCTTCTCAAGCCGCTTGGCTGTGTTACTTGATGAAAAGCTTCATTAAAATGCTCTGAAGTCAAAATGAAAACAAAATACCTCACTGGCAACGTGCAACGCTTTTGTAACCAGTATACTGATTGTGGAATCCCTCCACTTCCAGTTCTTACTATTAAGGAAGTTGGGACAAATTAATACATCGAGTCTCTTCGGTTCAGTTCCAGGTACTTTTAAGGGCTGTTGCAGTAAAATGACTTCCAAAGAGCCCCCATCTTAACCTCTGCTCTCCTCCCTGTGCAAGTCCAGCTGCTGGGTGAATTCAGACGAGAAGGGCCCCCGACGACCCTCCCCAGCTCTGAGTTCTCTCTCCAACACACACAAGCCCCCAGCAGCTTCCCCAGAAAGCTGAACAGGCCCTGGGACCGCTGGAGCTGCTCTGGGCTCCTTCCCTGGACAAAGCACTTACCCCTTTCTTCTTGGACTGCTCCTGTTGCTCCATCTTTGCCCGGGAGAGCAGAGCACTGCGTGCCTCCTTTTAGCCAAAATAACAAATGCCCTGGATGCAGAGAGAAGACATTCTGGCTGCACTTTGGCCGCACCAAGTAACAGCCAATCGCATTTTTATAGCCAGTCTAAGTCAGAATAACCCTTTCAGGAACCCAGGGGTTTGTCTTCCTTTCACTTCTGCTTTTAAATGTAACGGCTGGAGTTTGGTTGACAAGTGGGTGCCCTGGGATTGCAGACACGGTGCCATCCTGATTGGGACAGACGTGGCATTTCCTCATGCTAAGGTTTCCACCAGTCAGGCTCATGGCGAGTGACTGGAAGGGTTATTTCTGTCAGAAACGCATGGAAAGCAACAGCTGCCAGCGACCCTACACCACACCATGTAACACGAGGGCAGCAGTTTGGCTCACTAGAGGCTTCGAAGCAGTTCCTGCCAGGGAGCCTGCCATCAAATCTCTAGTGAGAAGTCAGCTTTGACCTAAGTAACCGGTAACACTTCTGGAGGAGAGTTTCTTAGGTTTCTTTTTCTTTTCTTTTCTTTTTTTTTTTTTTTTTTTTAGGGAGTTTTTTCGATAGGGCGGGGGGGCCA